ATCCCCAATGGTATCTATGAGTTTCCTCATGCAGCCCATTTGATTCAGCTGTTTGGCCAGCCATACATGAACTAAGAGCTTTATTAATAGGTTACAATTGTACTCCTACTTTTTTCACAACAGAAACTTTTTAAAGTCATAATTATTTTCTGGAGCTTTGTTCTTTTTTTCATTTCATAGAATATAAATTTAAGTTGAGTTTTTCATTTTCAAAAATGTCTTTTACTATCTCTAGTTTAAATACTAATTATTACTAACAAAACAGTATAAAATGTCGATTTTTTAGAAACAACACTGTTTTTCTGCTAGTTTTGTTTAAAGGCATGATAAAGTTTAGTACTTGCAAGGTAATTGAACTATGTGTGTACCTTTTAAGTATCTTATACTTATTCCTGATATCAAAGAATTTACAGTTCAAATTCCCCCCCCCCCTATGAGCTCCTAGGCGAGGGGGGTGGACAACATTTTTTTTTTCCTCCCCCCTACATTTATTTCTGTATACGCCCTTGTTTACAAGTTTTTGTTAAGAAGCACATATTCTGAAAACAATTATTTTTTCTCTTTTCGTGTGCAAAGTTAAAAAGCAAGGCTCTATGTCGGCGCAAAGTCACAGAGGCAATCTTAAACTCAAAAATTGTCTTCAACATTATGAGATTGGCGTGATTGAAATGGTAATAAATTGTAATCGTTTTGTGACCTTTTCTTAGTTGACTGACGGGTAACTAAAAAAATCAACAAACAGATTTTTAAAAGTGGTAATATAGACAGATATGCCACACAGCGGTCAATAGGTCGCAAGCTTTCTAGCCAAATCGATGAAAATTTTTAAAATCAAATCTAAAAACAAGTACTTAGTCTTGAAATGTACATGTCTAGGGCTTCCCAAAATATATCTGAGTTATATGAGGTAACATCAATGTGACGCTTTAAAGTCAAGCCAGAGATGGAATTTAAAGAATTTGAGCCGCGGTTTAAATCTGCCAAAATCCGGTTTAAATTAAGCGCCGGCTTAAATCTTGAAACATTTAATACAATTTTAAGTGGAAGCAACCATATTTAAGCCGCGGCTTAAATTTAAACCGCCGCTCAAATTCTTTAAATTCGGCCACAGTTTAGAAAATTGATGCAACTTTTCACAGAAGCCTAGATACATGTGGCAACACTTCATTAAACTCTAGGAAGTTAGCAACTGATAATAATTTCAAGTTTCCAGGAAAGGAGTAGTATAATTTTAACCTAGGCCTTACATTCGGATTTTGACCGCACACTCCAAAGCAAGGTAGGGATCTAAAAGATTGCGGGAATAGGTGTTTGTTCATTTTACTGCAACATTAAAAACTAATTAGGACTGATCTAAAGTAAATAATCTACAGATAGTATATAAACCTGTGCTATACCTCATAAAAAGACTTTTTCTTGTCATTGTTTTTATAAACTGAGTCCTAATGCACTAATAAATTCGGTTCAAGTACCGGGCAGACATTTAGGCAGCTAGAACAAGTTTAGATAGTGCACTTGATTAATGAAACTTACATCTCCCTTAAATGTGTTCATAAAATCGAAACCTATCCCTCTCCCTTTATATAATTTACTGCGAAGTTTAAAAGTTTGAGAAATATTTAACGATATATTATCAATATTGAGGATTTTAAATGGAAAGTTCTTGAATTTTAAAGTTAAGTATCAGCTCAAAGAGAAAGGTTTCTTTGGATCAAGTTGAACACCAAGAACTCTCATAGCTTTGTTTGCAAATAATGTGTATAACGTTTCTGGGAGGAATACGTAAACAAACACAGTGCTGCTCAGAGGCCGGTCCTTCTATAGATAGTGGACGTGTAGTTCACGTACTTTGGAGGACGATAATTTGGCCGCTAGATGTCTCCCGTGAGTTGTTCATGGACGGACAGAGTTTCTCACGCCATACGGTATCTGTGGATCATTAGCCATGCATTAGCCGTACTAATATGATTTTTTTGAGAAAAGGTGGCAGCTGCACTAATCCAAGTAGCTTTCTGATTTCATTTCATAAATTGATTGCAGTGTCTTGTTTTTAAGATCCATTATGAATTTGAAATTAAATCAAAGTACAATTTCTTATGTCTAAGATAGTTTGCTGCGTTCAAATCAAATTCGTAATAAGCTTTCCCTTTTTTTCCGTCGATAGGGGTCGCATATGTATGTGTTTATGGTCGGACAATACTCGGACACTGATAACTCATGGAAGAACGCGTTTGAACAAAACACTATTTCTCCGTACATTTCACGACCAATATAGGAGACGTCAAGTTGTCGACCAATGTAGTTTATGGAAGGAACGGCCTCAGGTTGAACTTTGTTTATATTCCTCCCAGAATATGCAGTACACTTTATTTGTAAACAAAGCATAAGGAGTTCCTGGCTAAGTATCTCATTAAAATCCTTGTTAGACACACAATTCAAATTAATTTTTAATTAAAATATAAATTTAAACTTTTCATCTAACCATGGTCTCTTTTCAAAAACTATAACCAGGATTAGATTTGTGCAATATTCATGTAAAAGATTAGATTTTCCAGTTTAATATTTTTAAGCCCAATTTATTTCTGTTGTAAATAACTATTCTTTTTGTTTTAAGTTGCATACAGCGAGAACCAGAAAGCTCTGGAAGACGACTTTTAGACTCAAGTAATAATTTTTATTAGTCCAATTAGCATGAGAAAGGGTGTAAATAGACCCAATTTACTTAATAAGGGATTCAATAAGTAACTTGTAAAACTATTTGCTTTGTATCAACGTTAAATACACAAAGTTTTGTTTTAATGTCGTCTTCCTATTCCACCAGTGTCCTTGGTTCCAATTATATTATCTAAACATGCACTGATTTGAATTTTTCCCCTCTAAATTGAAATATTTTCTATAACTCTCGTTTTCCAGAGAAAACATCAACAGTTTAACCCTGAACTTCGGAGACATCAAATGAATTTATAAAATGTTTTTAACCAATACTGATAATAGAATGCCTCAGATATTTTTTTAATTAAACAATTTTAATGGAGCTCTTAAATCTTTCCCGCATATTTTAGGTTTTTTTCTTTATTTTTACAAAAAAAAACAGATAGGTCTCATTCCGGAATAAATATCACTAAAAAATGAAGCCAAGACGGCATTTTAAAAAATTTTTTAATGTCACCGAAGTTCTGGGTAAAATTTTTTATGTTTTCTCTAAAACTGTATGGTCGGAAATTGAGAGGGTTCGAATTAGTCTGACTAAAATGTTTTTTTTTCTTATAGTATACATTTTAAAGTTTAAGAGTAACTTAACATTAAAAACCACTGTAAACAGTAAAAGAGCTGAAAAAGACTGTGATGGGTTTCTTTTATAAACCAATAGTACTTATTTGTAATAAAATACTTTGATAGATGTACTCTGCACAAAAGCAAGAACTCCACAAGCACAGAACTATAGATATAAGGAGAAGGTCAAAGGAGTTGAGTTTTTGCCACAAACTCTGATTTTCTAATCTCTATATCTTTGTAACCCAATTTCGTAGACCTGAGATATTTCAAACTATTAATACTTAAAGATAAAATAATCTAAGTTTGAAAAATCAAAGGTTTGCACCATCAGGTTGTAAAGATATTGGGATCAGAACATTTGAGTTTGTGGCAAAAACTCAATTCCTTTATACAACATAACTGTAGATAGGATTCTGTGATCTCGTAGCTTCCCTGGTTTGGGATTTATGCACAAGTATGAGAAACACAAATTTATCCGGTTATATATTAAATGGTTATAACCTTTTTTTTCAAAGCTCTTCAAAAAGATGAGTTATGAGTTTTAATGGAGTATTTGGCAAGATTCTGGTCGAATTTCGCATTAAAATGCGCAGACTTTAGTTCACATCTGAAACTTGATAATGATGTCTCCAGGGATATTTATAAAGTTCATGTTCTACCATATTCTTATATATATATTAGGTTTGTCTGTGGGTTTGTTTGAAACCAATAAACGATATATTGGCTAAAGGAGTCGGCCCCAGATTTTGCGAAGGACCGATCACATGACCCTAAGATTTGCGGACGATTAAAATTAAACTATTTTGTCTTATAAATAATGTAATCTAAAAAATAGAAATCCACCAGTACAGCTGAAAAAATGTAGGAAATATTTAATTGTTTTATATTTATATCTTACTGGCTAAAGTGCCCGGCGTTGCCCGTGAAATTTTAGAAAAGTTTGGTTTCCCTTAAAAAATGTCAGCCGATTTGGTACAGCCGTTTGGCTAGCTCAAGCAAACAAAAATATAAATAGCTTTATTATACAGACTAGGATAAAATGATTGCAGCTGATTTATTTATTTTAATGCGAAGCACCCTGGAAGCACAGTTTTTACATTTAAATATAGTTATATAGGAGAACTAGCTGAAGTGCCCGGCGTTGTCCGTGAATTTTAAAAAAATAGATATTTGAACGAAGAATATTTTTAGTCTATGATTCACTCTGAACTAACGTTTATTTGAAATCAAACGTGTTTTCGTCTATAACTCAACAGTCTTCAGACTTACAGATTTGTTTATTTTATACTTTTTCATTTAAATGTATATGCCAACAAAAAATTATTTAAGATACAAGGCTATAAAATTATGTAAAAGGTGTCAAATTGTGATCGAAAGTCACAGTTTTCTGAAATATTTACAGAACCGTTAACTCCAAGTGGATTGTTACCCCCAGGTGCCGATGGGTTTCCAAAAAATTTGGTCCAGCTGTTTGGTCAGCTATAGCTAAAAATTATATATATCTATATATGTTTATATATATATGAGTGAAGAGCTTCATTATGTAGATTGCAGACTATGTTACTCGATTAAAAATCAAAATATTAATAATTTTTTTATTCAAACTATAGGGAAACTCTCTTTCGGTCAAAAACATTTTTGGAAGATTTCTTTAGGTGAGATTAATCTACCCCCTGTAAATTACTAGCTACTAAAAGGACCAACAAATAGAGAAGAAAAAAACATAATTTTCTATGTATATTTTTATAAAAACAATTTACTTGACAAAACCAAGATATAAACAATAATCTGTCTGGAATGAGAAAGCATGACGAAGGATCACATCGATGTTTTTAATGTTAATAGTTTCATATTGGAAATGAGGGAGGGGGGGGGGGATGGTAAAGATGGCTTGTAAAACAATAAATATTTTCTCAACATCTATAGGAATACAATAGAAAACACTGTATAAGAAATGGAAGGAATTAAAAGAAATAAATAGGAATAAATTGTAAATGTGTTGTATCAGCATGACTAGCATTAGTATGGGACAAGTATCAGTGGGACAAGTATCAGTAGGACAAGTATCACTAGGACAAATATCAGTAAGACTAGTATCAGTGAAAGGACTAGTATCAGCATGACTAGCATCATTATGGGACTAGTATCACTAGGACAAGTATCAGTAGGACATGTATCAATAGGACATGGATCAGTAGGACTAGTATCAGCATGACTAGTATCAGTATGGGACTAGTATCACTAGGACAAGTATCACTAGGACATGAATCAGTAGGACTAGTATCAGTAGGACTAGTATCAGTTGGACTAGTATCAGTTGGACTAGTATCAGTAGGACTAGTATCAGTAGGACTAGTATCAGCATGACTAGCACCAGTATGGGACTAGTATCACTAGGACAAGTATCAGTAGGACTAGTATCAGTGGGTAACAATAGCACCGCTATTTATTTTTAAGAGTAGGACTAGTATGAGATAAAGGACTATTTTTAGTAGGAATAGTATCAGTAAGTGATATTAGGACTGTAAGCATAACAACTTTTTAAGTGTCAATGACTAATCAGCGACTAATAGTACAACATAAGTTTAAAACTAAATAAGACACAAAAAAAATGTTGTTAATGTTTAGTGATAACTACAAACCTGAAGAATAGGAATACGACTTTAAAGAATACAGAAGTTGATGTTGTTTCAAAACAAATAATTTTACACGTAAGTTGTTTAATCACATATTATGCGAAATGGGTCTGTTTACACTGCACAATTTCTGTGCCTCATGTTTATTGGACTACTTAAAATAATAACTTGAGTCGAAAAGTCGACTTCCAATTCCAGAGTGTTCTGGTTATCACTGTACTTCATTTCAACTTTTACATATCGAAGTAAACTCAGGGTAATATAATGATAACAGACTTTAACAGAATCACAGTAGTTTATATAGATACAACAGTATACAACAACAAGAAATAGGATATATATAGTGTACAACAGTTGATGGATTCGGGGATATGTGTACAAATATGCACATGATGTAAGCATATTGTACACCAGTTGCACATGCGAAAAATGAATAGTAATCTAAATTGATGGGACGGAGCATTATGAAAAAAACGGAAACCAAAAAAGTTTGTTCCTTTGTGAAAATTGCAGAGCAAACATTGAACCTCTAGATAATTGCTTAATCAAACTTAGTTCAACAAATAAAAAATTAAAGTTAAAATAAAAAATCATTATTTATTTTGGTAATGAAGTGTTCAGTATAATAAAAATAATTTGGGTACATTTTATATCAAGATACGGGGGCAGGGTCGTCTTCAACATTCCAGAAAGGGGAAAATTAAAAAAACAAATGTAATTGACACGTTGAGATTTAAATGTGAAGGGACAAGGTTAGGAAGAGGGACAGGGTGTGAATTTAAAGTTTTGGTTGAATCTGAATCAGATGTTCAAGTTCGTCTGCTGAGCGCAGTAAAAATGCCGCGCTTTCTCTATATCCAGTTATCAGCTGACGAACAGCTGTCATTTCAGTACCGTTTAGTTTGTGATTTAACAATGGAGGTTTCTTCAAGCTTTCAAGGCCTTGACCGTTAGTGTTTCCAAGTCCTTGTAGTAGGCCTGGTGGTTGTGAATGGTAAACTGTTGGCTGTTGTTGTTGTTGTAGAACTTGTCGGTACATGGCAGCTGTTGCTCCGTTAACAACTGGCATACTTGAAACCGGCACCATGTTGGAATGCTGACTGGTAGCTAGAAGGGATGTCAGCTGTTCAGGTTTGTACTCCATCTTGGTTTTATCTATCATGGTCATCGTGACCGTGACCGGAGACCCACCGGACACTACGTCCATTGGAGAGCAATAGGACATAGGTATAGGAATAGGCTGAGAAATAGGCTCCATGCCCATGCGCATGCGCTTTGCATTTTCAGCTTCGTTCTCGCATGCGCGCGCAAGCATTTGTTCTGCATGCACGCTTGTTAAGTGGGGAGGAGTGGGCCTCTGAAAAAAATCAAGTCAGAAAATTCTAAAATCTATTAAAATTCAGTTTGTTTTAAATAAATCAAGTTTTTTCGCGTCATTTTAAAACATCACATATTTTTACGCACATTAAATGTTCTTTTTAAATATTTTCTTTGTAATTGCTGATACATTTTGAATATTTGATTACAAGTGTATTATAAAGTCTTAATTACAAAAAAAATTATATTTTGCTTCATTCTTTGGCATCCTTAAAGGAACTAAGTTTTTGCCACAAACTCTGACTTTCTAACCCCTCAATAATTCCAACCCGATGTCGTAGACGTTTGATATTTCAAACTATGATTTCTCTAATATAAAATTGTCTAAGTTTGAAATATAAAAGGTTTACACCATCAGGGTGCAAAGAAATAATGTTTAGAAAATGTGAGTTTGTGGCAAAAACTCAATTCCTTTAATTATATTAACTTACATTATTAGTATCTAGTCCTGCTTGCTCCCTGGACCGTTTAGTTCTTCTGCAAGATTTGAGATAGGTCCGGATACGCTTCCGGGCCCGGTCAGAAAACTCAGGGAACTGTCGGGTACAAGAGTCTATTATAGCCTAAAAAAACAATTCGATTTAATTAAAAACCATTTCATAGAATGTGCATTGTGCAATTAGAATCCACTCAATCTAAAATAAATTGCATGAAATGTTTTCAATTACAACTTCTCTTATTGAAGAGCTAGTAAAAAGAACAAAAATGTTTTGAATTGCTAAAATGTTTCCGGATAGTTTTTCTCCTGTCATACTTGTGCGTAAAACATTATATTCGCACCAGTAATGTCGCATGAAAATTGGCCGTCTCCTTCCGCCCAATTTGCAGTAAACTTTCTTGTTTAATATTTTCTTAAAGGAATTGAGTCTTTGCAACAAATCCCAATTTTCTAATACCTATATATCTACAACCAAACTATGTAAACCATAGATATTTCAAACTTTGATTGTTTGATATAACAGAATTCATAGTTTGAAATATCTAAGGTCTACGACATTGGGTTGGTAAGATATAGGCTTTTAAAAACCAGAGTTTGTGGCAAAGACTCAATTCCTTTTTTATCAAAAGTAAAACAAGCAATGTATACTGTGTCTATATTGTAAACGAAGAAAAAAGAAATGAAGAAAAGAGGTAAATTTACAATGAATTTATTAACGATCAAAAGCCTGTAATTTATAATGGCAAAAATTGTAATAATGATAATTAAAATTGATATAGTCACAGAGTAACAAGTGGTTTTAATCAAAAAATTTTATTGAAAGTCAGGTATTTACTTTTTTTTATTTTTTACCTGTATTTTCTCCTTGGGTTGTTTTGAGATTGGAACATGTCGGTCTAGATTTTCATCAACAAACAGACGAACAAACATCTAAACAACAAGTTTTAAATGTTTTATCTATGACGATAGAAGAAAAAAAATTATATTGAGTTGTTATTCCCCGGCTGTATAAATGAAAGTGAAAATTCATCAAAAGCTAAATGTTTAAAGTATTTGCCTTATATTATATAAGTTCTAAATCCAGGTAGATAAATAAAAGAAGTTCTTTAAGAAAGGAAAAGGAATTTGTTAATGAAAGTGGGGAAAATATTTAAAAGAAAAAAAGGTAGAAGAAAGAGGGGGAGATTTTAAATTATTCTGTTTTTGTAATCTTAGCATAATAATTGTTTTGGATTATAATTCTATGCAACTGTTACCATACTTTCTTACTTTCCTACTCCTACTTTCCTACTTTACTACTTTCCTACTTTCCTACTCCTACTTTACTACTTTCCTATTTTCCTACTTTCCTACCTTCCACAGAAAAATAAAATCATATTTATTTGGAACCGAGAAAGTTAATGTTTTGACGACTTTTCTAAAAAATCTTCTACTTTAATTATCAATTAATGTTACTAATTTGCTTTTAGCAAATTTTCATTAAAATTTTCTGAAAAATTTTATTTGTCCTACAAATCAGCTTGACAAATTCAAAAATCATTCAGTCAAAAGCTTTACTCTATTAGTTTTCACTCAAAAGTTTCAGAGACAAAGTTCTAAAAATTCTTGTAAATTGTTTGCTTTTATAATTCTTCGCATAGATTTGAAACTGTACACATAGGCGTTAGGAATTTTCCCAAGGGGCGACTTCTCAAATGACAATTCCCCAAGTAGCAACTTCCCAAATGTGCAATTTCCCAAACAGCAACTTCCCAAAGGTTAGGTTAGGCCTTTCAAAGCACTGTACTCATCAAAGGTGGACAAGCGCTACGTCATAGATGGGGGTCGAGCGCGCAGCTAGAACAAATTGGGGGGAGGGATCATTGCGGCTAGGACAGACTTGGGAAGTTGCCATTGGGGAAAATGTTTTTGGGATAGTACCGATCATTAAAATACATATATAGATAAATTAAGATTATACAGGTCAGATATAGAGATAGCTATTGACTAGGGTTTTCATCGAAAAGGGGAAATCGTTTCGCGAAAATTTCGCATTATTTCGCATTTCCTTCGCTCGCCATAATGCGAAATTTTTTGCTATTTTCGCGAAATTTCGCTTTTATTTCGCACTTATTCGCAAAAGTTTTCGCACTTATTCGCAAAAGTTTTTGTTCGCTGGAAACTTTTAGATATATACATAGATAAATAGATAGATAGAAAGATAGAAAGATAGAAAGATAGATGGATGGATGGACTGGAAGGATGGGAGAGGTGTACGAGGGATGGAATGTTCCTTTCTCTCTCTCTCTCTTCCTCCTAACTACTCACTCTCTCATATTGATCCTGACAAGAGGGAACACGGGTACAGGAGAATGGGGGGGGGGTACTTGAGGTGAGAAGAGGGGGGGGGGTCTGGTGAGTATAGAAGGGGAAAAGGGGGATGTTGAAAGGATTGTACTTATGTGAATTAGGTAGACAAAATGATTGACCATTAAAAAGTTGTGACCAATGCCCCACAATGTGGCATCCCTCCCTCTGAGACCTGTGAGACCCAATCTTCTCAATATTTTAACTCAGATATTTCAAGTGTAAAAGAAAATCCATATATTTTTTGCGCTTCGTGCGGGTTATATTTTGTTCATGTAAAGAGTCTTACGAACCCAAAAAGATTATTACTGATTTTAGTTTCAATCATCCAACACCTGGAGGAAGAAATAGAAGAAAACGTTTTGTTTAATCAGGGTGCCTCCGACTTACATTAAACGCCTTCAGTCTCTCTGGATCTCCACTGTTGTCGAATTTATCGTCCGAACCGTCGTCTTCGTCCTCGTCGTCGTCGTCGTCTTTGTTTCCAACGGACGAGTTGTCGTCTCCAATAATTGATTCGTCTCTTGTTATATCTGATCTACTCGGACTCTAAAAAAAATAGTTAATTAAATATTTTTTTTTTTTTTAGGGCAACTGCCTGATTTTTGCTATAAAAACGAACATTACAAAAATGCTCAAACTCAACGTGAAGATTGTTTTGAATTATGTAAGAAAACTGTTCCGTGTTCTCCCTGAAAAGTAAATTCCCTTTTCTTCTAAACTCAAACTCTGCATATAGAGTCATTATTCTCATTCCACCATAATCCTCTCAATGTCGCATGAAAATTGGCCGTCTCCTTCCGCCCAATTTGCAGTAAACTTTCTTGTTTAATATTTTCTTAAAGGAATTGAGTCTTTGCAACAAATACTTGCATTGCACCGTAGGCTTTTCCTAAACTTCGTTCCAATATATTATATTACAATTATAAAAAAATTAGTTAACTCTTGAGAAATTGCATGAAGTAAAAACGTGAAAACGAATGTAAAACTTAAAGAAGATGCAGAAAGCTGCTAACTGCATTTTCAACAATGAAAAAGTTAAGAATTTTCAGAAATTTTAACACGTATAAAAGAAAATTTATTTTAGCTTAATTCTATACTTTTTTAATCAACATCTGTATATTTCTGTCTGGCCTTTTTATCAAGAAATATATATATATATATATATATATTAATATTGGCCTTTTTTTTACCAAGAAATATATTTTTAATTTATAATTGTCAAAATCATATTCTTTCTTTAAGAAAAAAATACTTTTTATTTCTTACTCTTTAAAATTCATTCAGTGCATGTACACCTGTTTTAAAGATGAATTCGCTAGTAAAAGCAAAATACTTTTTTTTTAAATATTCTAACATATAACACTAGGCTTTTAGGGCGCTTCGCGGCCATCTTCTATCTAAATTGTGAACATGGTCTCTTTGTGTACATTTTAAAACAAAGAAAAAAAATTTCACGGATTTTATTAAAAAAATTTTTAATTTACAAAAATGAAAAACTTTTTAACACGAATTTTTAAATTTTGATCATTCATAAACCTTCCCTTGGGTCACGTGATGTCCTACACGATCGGTTCAGCCGTTTTGACGTTTATTGGATACAAACAAACAAACAGACTAGCCAAATTTATATATAGATATAAATATATATGTAAAGTATACAAAAATTGGTAAACAGGAATCCGTATTGAAACACTGAATTCAAAAACCTTAAAATCATAAAATTGAACAAAAGAATTGCCACAAACTCAGATTTTTTAATCCATATATCCAATATCTAGTACCTTAGATATTTCAAGCTATACATTCTGTTAGATCAAATAATCTTAGTTTGACACATCAAATGTTGACACCATCAGGTTGCAAAGATATAGTGATTAGAAACTTTAGTTTGTGACAAAAACTCAAATTCTTTGTGGAAATTTGTCAGAGTGCTTAAAAAAAAAATTTTGGGAGGGGGCTATAAATTTGAATAATTTAGCTACTCGATAAAATTATAACTATTTACCTCCCTATGTGATAAATAATTTTTTTAAAAATGTTTGAACTGACCCGGTTTGTCAGAACAAACAAAAAATCCTCATTGTTTTGATCAAATTCAGGCTATTTTAAAAATTTGTTTATATCGTCTCAAAGTTTCTACGAGTGCAGAAGATAGTACAATTTCCTGTGTTATTATGTGACCGTGCCGGTACAAAAAGTAGGTACTGTACATACCCGATTCAAGGTTACCATTTAAACCTTTATTATTGAGTTAATTGCCTTTTCTACACATAAATTGATGAATTTGCATTTCAGGTTCTCTATAAATGTGACGTGCAAAAGAATAATGTCTTTACCACAAATTCTGATTATTTTATTCAATATATCTTTGCATCCAAATGTCGTAGGCTGTAAATATTTCAAACTATGATTTCTGTTGGATCAAAAAATCTACAAGCTTTTGCACCATGAGGTTGTAAAAATATGGATTAGAAAATTTAAGTTTGTGGCAAAGACTCAACTTCTTAGTGTAGAAAAGACACGGAAGGATTGTCAAAAGTTTAACTTTTGATTTAGAAATCATATCGTCACTGAAATAAATGTTCTAAGTGCACCGTTGTGAATCCGGCATGGAACTTGTTCAATTAACCCTATTCAGACTGACGTCTGGTTTATCCAAAATAGTCTGAGGAGGGGGGGGGGGAGTCCGTTATTGCCTTATTGTGATAAAAATCTAAAACATTTTTGGAAAACCCTTAACTTTGATAATATGAAAAAAAATTTGAAAATCAGCAAAATTCCAAATATACATTGCAATATCAAATTATTCACCAAAAAATGTGCCAAAACAAAAATTTCGCGAAATATAATAAATTATACATTTTTGAAAAGCCCTTACCCCACGGCGAATTCAAATGTGCAAAAATATTTGCAAAATTATCATAAACTAAATTTGTATTCAAGGAAAGCTGAAAAGGTGCAAATTCTCTTTAAAGGCATCTGAGCAAAAATCTCTGCAAAATTTCTTCGCAAAAATTGTGTAAAGGTAAAATAAGGTATTTAGGCAGAATGCCTGAGGACCCAGGAAGTAGGTATAAAAGCCCTGCTTTGAGTAATGAATGAATGTATGAATGTAAGGGACACGTGTTAGTTAGAAAAATAAAAAAATTTGAACAGTCTTAACCCAATTCTTTTTGAATAATCTCCAAAAAACGTCAGGGGGGGTTCCCCGGGACCTTCCCCCCCCGCCCGGAATAGGGTTTAGGGTAACAATTAAAACTACAACGGCAGTCTGTTTAATAAATTAGGTTTGAAACAGTTGATTAGGGACCCCCTAGGTTGTTCCCTCGACCTGTTAACTGATAGGGTCCCCTTAGGTTGTTCCCTCGACCTGTCAACTGTTAGGAACCCATGGGGTGTTCCCTCGACATGTCAACTGTTAGTAACCCCCTGGGGTGTTCCCTCGACTTTTCAACTGTTAGGAACCCCCTGGGGTGTTCCCTCGACTTGTCAACTGTTAGGAACCACTCGGGGTGTTCCCTCGACCAGTCAACTGTTAGGAACCCCTTGGGGTGTTCCCTCTACCTGTCAACTGTTAGGAACCCATGGGGTGTTCCCTCGACCTGTCAACTTTATGGAACCCTCTGGGGTCTTCCCTCGACATGTCAGCTGTTAGGAACCCATGGGGTGTTCCCTTGACCTGTCAACTGTAAGGATTCCCCTCTGGGGTGTTCCCTCGACCTGTCAACTGTTTGAAACCCCCTAAGGTGTTCCCTCGACCAGTCAACTGTTAGGAACCCATGGGTTGTTCCCTCGACCTGTCAACTGTTAGGAACCCCCTGGGGTGTTCCCTCGACATGTCAACTGTTAGGATTCCCCTGGGGTGTTCCCTCGAACTGTCAACTGTTAGGAAACCATGGGTTGTTCCCTCGACCTGTCAACTGTTAGGAACCTCTGGGGTGTTCCCTAGACCTGTCAACTGTTTGTAAACATGAAAAGTTGAACAGCAGTGAATACAGGAATTCAGGGAATAATCTTGATTAAATATATTGTGAAGAGTAATAGAGGATGGTCCATAGCGGGGTGTACCATCAGGGGTGCAGGGTATCTGCCCGCTATCCAGCTGATGGTATAATTTTAGTCAATATTTCAGTTTTTCCAGGTAATACGTAAATTAGAGAATAGATTATTATCCTCTTATTTATTAATATGATAGAATAAATTGATTTTTTGATTATTCTACAAGATTTACTGGTTTTCAGGATTTTAATAATTTATGTGGCTGATTTTTAAGATTTTAAGATGACCTATTTTTAAGATTATTACAAGATTTCCAAGATTGAGACAATTTTGACTGATTTTCAAGACATTAACAAGAATTTGATTGATATTTTAGAGTTTGTGATGACCTTTTTAGTAGATTAATGACAATGCAGATAGAACAGTAGAATTATATTTTGAATATTTCTTATACAAATGGAGTACCCGTCTGCAAAGCATCTATAATCATATGGTAGGGCGAACCGCGTCAGTTATATCTCCCTTCTATTTCTTACTCCCTGGATCGAACACTAGATGTTGTCTTTTCAGGATTAAGAGGTTTTTCGTTCACAATAATCCTGATGCAGAATCTCAAAGGAGTTACGCGCATGCCGCGTTGAATTACAAGGCAGAGAGACTAGAAAAAGCATGCATGTAATTCCTTTGGGATTCTGGCTCAGGGTTATTGTTAACGAAAAACCGCTACATCTTGAAAAGATGACATCTTGTGTTCGATCTTTATTGTTATTAATCTATGATTATAAGATTGACTAATTTTCGAGATTAAGACAATGTTTAGAGATTTTTAAACTTTTAACCAGAAATAGACTGATTTTTTAGATTTTGCGATGAACCATTTTAAAGATTATTATAAGATTATCTAATTAAGACTATTTTGACAGATTTTTTAGATTTTTACCAGAAATAGACAGATTTTTAAGATTTTGTGATGACCTATTTTTAAGATTATTATAAGATGGAGTAATTTACAAGGGTTATTGATATTAATGATTATATTATAAGCTGGTTTTTAAGAATAGAAGAGCATTGATCAATTTTCAAGATTTTGACAAGATTGACTAAAATAAATTATTAAGATTTGATCGTTTGATTTTTATGATAATGACAGGATCGATGATATATCTGGAAAAATGAATCCTTACCGACGATCCATTTCTGTTCTGTGCTAGATACTGTCCAAGGTTAGAGAGTGGTAGGTTGCTCTGGGAGGAGTTCTGAAGGTTGCTCTGAGAGGAGTTCTGAATGTTGCTCTGAGAGAATGAATGTTTGTGTGAGAAGTTTGCCCAGGTTGGGTCAGATGATGCATCCTCTCCGCTCTCAGGGTCCTCCTTAACATACAGGGTTCTTTAACTCTTATTTACCGTAATCTACACAGTTATCCAAACCAGTCACAGATCAAGTAAAGGCTGACAAGGTTTAAAAAGTTAAGAAACTGCAGACGCGCAATCCATGCTCGACCTTTTATATTATAAGATCTATAAGAAGTCAAATTGCTTGTATCATAATACTTCGGTGTTTTATCATCAAGATCAAGTGTATGAAGGAATAGTTTTCTACATTTGCTATATTGTTTTGGATTTTAGTTTTTTGTTACCAGGACAACCAGATTTTCATGAGCAGTAATCTATCTTAAAGGATAGAATTTACTGGTAGCGTGACATATAATTTTAAGTGAAGGCATTCGCTTTCTATAAAATAATAATTGTGGGTTCTATTTAAAAAAGACTTGAAAAGTTCTTGTTACAAAAACAGTAAAGGAAATTGTGAGAATTAAACACTTTTAAAGCTATAAAAACGATGATATATTCCACATTTTTGATCAGTTCAAAGTTTACAGGGGTAACTTTGTGAACATGGCATTCCCCCTCTTTAAAAAATTGTTAGGTAAAAATAACAATGTCACCTCTCCACAAAATATTTCATCATTTCAATATTCGAAAATTGTCCAAAAAAGTTTTAGATATTCTTTATTTTTAGAATTTGCCAACTGTAATTAGCGACCACAAAGTTCATAGACTAGAAAAATAAAGTTCATAGATTTTTATTTTTTTTCCTAAAACTGTTTTTTTTTCATAAAAGTCAATCTACTCAACTTACAAACAGAGATTACTACTTTCTATATGAGATTACTTTTGTCCAAATTCAAGATAGGAAAAACGACTATATCGTCATGATAATTATTTTAAGACAATGTTAAAACAAAATGTATGTTTTCCATGTATTCTGCAGCTTTTATTTATTATATAAGTCAAGTAGCATAAAGAGAGATTTCAAGGAGTATCTGCATAACAGGCGTCATAATAAGACTGAAGACATACATACAATGAGCAAATTTTGATATGGTTTATTCCAAGGTTAGAAAAATTGAGATATGAAAAGTTTTTGAGTGGAAGTTTGATATATCTTTTCAAAAAAAAGTTTTCTTGTATTGTGAATTATAAAACTCAGTTAGGTCTAAAGTTTAAAATATTAAATAATATTCTCTCCGAATTTATTTTAATGGAACCTCTTTAAAAAAAAGACTGATCTATTTTCTAGAATAATTCTAAAGTTTTCATGTTCACCCCGTATCATCCATAAGAAAAGAGTTATTGGAGCATGAAAAAGAATGAAAAGAACACTGAGATTTACTTCTCCTAGACCACTATACCAATTCTTACTTTTCTGAAATACCTTCTTTAAATTATTCTCACTTAATCGTGCAATAACTCAGTTTAAACCCCCCCCCCCCCTCCCTTAGTGCACTGCAGGCTAGATAAAGAAGGATGGGGGGATCAAGGGGGGGATTTGGCATCAGCAGTTACCTTGATATTTTCTGATTTAGCAGGATGACTATCTTTCCTTTTCCCGCTCATTTTCAATCCTTTCAATGTGCTTTCGGATTTTATATATTTTAATCCTATTTTTGAGAAATCTATTCTGAAATTATGGTTTGATTCTGATTTCTTGTGAAGGTCTATTATGAGTAAACTCTAAGTATATCCGTGAAACATGCTTAGAGGATGGTTTATACAAGTTCTCCTGGTATTCCCGTCCTTCACAACTTGATATTGAGAACTGTGGGAGGTTCGAGGCTATAGCGTCCCCCTCCCATTCCTTTAGCCCCCCTCTTGGTCTCACATACCCTCCTTCATACCCCACCCCTCCCCTCCTAGACCCACATACCCTCCTTTATACCCTACCTTACCCTCCTGGACCCACATACCCTCCTTTATACCCTTTCCTTCCCCTCCTGGACATACCCTTCTTTACACCCTACCCTTCCTCTCCTGGTCCCACATACCCTCCTTTATACCCTACCCTACCCCTCCTGGTATCGTTCCTGTACCCTCCTTTATACCCTACCCTTCCCCTTCTGGACCCACATACCCTTTTTTATACCCTACCCTTCCTCTCCTGGACATACCCTTCTTTATACCTTACCCTTCCTCTCCTGTATCCGCATACCCTCCTTTATATCCTACCCTTCCCCTTCTGGACCCACATACCCTTCTTTATACTTTGCACTTCCCCTCCTGGTATCCTTCCAGTACCCTTCCAGTACCCTTCCCTGTTCTACTCTCTGTTTTACAAAATCTTAAATGTAGCATTTCTTCTTAGAAGAAAGGGCGGCGAAGTCGACAATCATTACGAAGTCGACAATCATTACGAAGTCGACAATCATTACGAAGTCGACAATCATTACGCTTTTTTAATGGTTATCACTTTACATTGAGAGCAATTCACTTTGCTACAGTGTTAGGCAATTATATCAATAAAATGAATACGACTTTTTTATTTAAGTTTTGATTGTTAACTTGCCTTTTAATCGACAGCTTCTCTTTGTTTCCATATTTATGTGCATTCATGATGTTTTAAAGCTTGAAATAAATCAAAATTTAAAATCTTAAGTCATCTTCATTGTATTGATAAAATCGCCTACCACTGTATAATGTACTGAACATTCATACAAACTTAATCTTTTAACCATTTACCCCACCCCCTGTATACTTTATTGTTTAATTTGAAGTAACTTTGTTCTTTCGTGAAATTGCAGCAGTACCCTTGAAACCTTAATCTGGTCAATAATTTGGAAGATGAAATTGTTTTCTAAATTGAAAAGTATTTAATTCTGTTAATTTTTCCATTGTTGATCTTAAGCGAGAAATGCGCAAGCAACTACTACACATGAAAATAATCAGTTTGTAAAAAAACATGGCAATCTTTTTCATACTTTATCAGACAAAGGTTTTAAGGGTACCATTGTGATTCAGACATTACCATCTTTGCATGGGGACTCCCTAAAATTACTTAAATTATGTTAAAACATGTAGAATTTCTAATATAATTACAAATAAAAAGAAACGACAGTAGGTATGGCACAATTTTTATCTTAAATTTGGTCCGAAAAAGGTCCCAACTCCCAATATAAAAAAAATCCATTATATTTTAAGTCAAAAACTATGTAAAACTATTTTCATGTCTGTTAACGTGACTTAAAAGGCTAAAAACTCGGATTACATGGATCACCCATAAAAAAAGATAGATTGCGCATAAGACGACATTTTTCATCTTGAAAGATATAACTGTACAGAGATGTTTTAAAGATATTCCTATTATATAGAATAACTAGGTCGGTTGTGAACATTGGCTGTTCTTATGTCATTGAGTACTTGTGGTGTACATGAGTTCTGTAGAGAGAAATTTAAGTTAGTGTAGTTCTTCTCATGTCCTTCTTCAGTTCTCGTCAATATGATATATTGCTCAGTGAAATGTTGTTCTTCAAAAAGTTCCATTCCCGGAGTTATTTTACACTCTATCATGAAATCCATTAAAACACCAAACCACCCCGCTTATCATTGAAGTACACTTTGACCCCTAGAAGTATGAGTTCGCGGACTGTACAATTCTTGGTGATTTTGATTACATAAGCTATCTATGTTTATTTTTTTATCTATGGGATCACCATGTAAATGTTTAGATATCTAATTAATGGACATTTAATGTTTATAGTTATAAATATTTATTCTACTGTGATAACCAGAAAAACAATGAAATGGGAAGACGACATTATAGCAATGCTTTAGTGTATTTGATGTTGTTACAAAGCAAATACAAGACACTTTTAAAATCGCTAACTTAGTGAAATTGGTCGGTTTACACTACATGATTGCCGTGTCACATGCTAAATAGACTTTTTAAAGTTATAACTTGATTTAAAAGTCGTCTTTCTATTTCAGAGTTTTCTGGTTATCACTATAGCTCAATACAAACTCTTGACTAGGGTTTGCAGCGAACGAAACGTTTCGCGAAAAAATGCGAAAATTTTCGCACGTATTTCGCAAACATTTTCGCGAAAATTCCCATTTTTTTGCGAAAATGAAGAAAGCGAAAAATGCGAAAACGAAGCGAAATTTCGCGCAAACATTCTCGTATTTCGCTGAAGCTGTATTTTGTCTGTTTTGATGAATTTTTGCGATTTGTTCGCATTTTTTCGCGAAAAATTTTTTCCTTTTTGCTGCAAACCCTACTCTTGACCTATAACTTTTCATGAAGCGAACTGAATTTTTATCCCATTTACATAGGACAATCAACTGTTGATGTGAATTTGCATAAGAAAAGATGGCAACATGGAAAACAAAGTTCAAATGTCGTCTTACTAAATCTAATCTCTGAAATACTTCTGAGATATTCTTCAAAATACCACATATTCTCTTCTCAGTTTGAATGCCAGTAAGTTAAGGCCATTGTTTTGGTTCTAGCAAAATTACTTAATTGAGCGCATTACTACTTGTGTCTAATTCAAAGTTAGAACGAACTTAAAAGAAAATATATCAGATGTCGTCTTACAAGATCAAATTTTGGAAAAAAAGACTTTTTTTATTCATCAACAATGTCGTGCTCATTTTCTTGCCAATTTCTTGCCATTTTCTTGCCAAAAAATAATTAAATCATTGTGTTGTATTTCGATTAAGTCCCTCAAACCCCCCCCCCCCCCGTAGAGGTATCATCATTCCTTAAATCCCATTAGATGATATATTACTCTTTTATAAATTATAACCTTGATAGAACTTCACAGGCCTAACAGTTTTTAAAGTAATTTATTTCGGAAATATTTAAAGCACGGTTAAATAAAATCTTTTTACTAAAAAAATTTATCTGAGTATTTATATAATATATAATCTTAAATTGTGCCCTGAATATTTTTACACATATGAAAGATGATACTGTGAATACGACCTAAAACTCTTCATATATGACGATCCCAAGGATAAATTAAGTTTTCTTCCTTAAATGAAGTCATTCACTGGCTTATAAAAAGATTTAATAAAGAAAGAAGCAAGTATTTTGTTACAAGGCATCATAAATTTAAGGGAAAAAAAACTTTGCGCTTTGAGGGTAACCCCATCTATATAATAAAACAAGACATTCGTATATATATATATATATATGTTGCTTATAGCCGGCCAAACGGCTGGACCAATTGGGCTGAATTTTTTTTGTGGACACGGTGGCCGGGGAATGTTATGGGCAATAAAAATTCGATTTTTTCGAATTTTTTTAACATTTTTTTTTGCACGGGCAACGCCGGGCCCTTCAGCTAGTATTAGTTAAAATAATCCAAATAAATGGAAAGACGACAACAACAATTCTGCTGTAGTAAATTATAACAGTTTGAAATATTCAAATTATCATAGTGAATGATTTGACTCAAATATCCAAATATAAATATTTTATAAATTTGATTGAATGATAAAATACTAAATGCCTCGTAATTATATATACTATACAGAATACAGAATTTCTTTTTTTATCTGTTAAAACTGATATATTTTGATCCAGTTGCAGTTTCAAATTAACAAAATTTTTCGCGCTATTTTTAACAATAGAACGATGACGACAAAAAATTCAATTTTTTCAGTATCACTGTATTTTAAACATTTCAATATTGAAACAAACCTTTTTGATCGCGAATCCAAAGTAGTCATCTGCAGTTGGTACTTCACGCCCCTGACAATTCAAAAATCAATAGAACGTCATTAAACAAAAATTTCATAAAAATGTATGATGATAATTCATAATAAATCTTTAAAAAATAATATCTAAAATAATAATAATTAATATAAATTAAGATAATATCAAAGTCAAAATAGGGACATAGATTGTGATCTGTGATATTTTTTTTTGATAATTAATAATAATAATAATTAATAATTAATAATAATTGATATAGATGATGAAAATAGATGAAACATTTTTTCAGAAAAAGTATTCTATTTTGTATGTTTTATTTTTCCTAGTGAGTGAAATTTAAATACTTATTCTTGTCTTTTATTGAGCGTTAACACACAGGGTTACCAACAAAACATAAGACTTCAGAGACGAAAGTGAACGGAGCTTATTTTATAATAATTCATGGTGTAAATTTGTTTCTCTCTTAGCCTAACTATTAATAAACTACATAAAAAGCAGAAAGTCAAGTTTAACCTTCAAATTATTAAATTTTTAGATTTATTTAATACAATACCTTTAAAGGGACTATAATCGCAATTTCAATTGACAATGCCCGATTCACAACGGTACCCTTAAAAGCTTTGTTTGATCAAGTGTAAATTATATATCAAAGTTTTTATTTTGAAAACTAATTATTTTCAATTGTAATTCCTCTACGAAAGTGACTTTCGCATTTCTACAGTGCAGGAATTATAGTCATTACTTTAAACCTTAAAAAACGACCATATCTTCCACATTATTGATCAGATAAAGGTCTCAGGGGGCTGTTGTGAATCAGTCACCGTAATCTATGCATAAAGGGTCACTTGAAATTTCGCTTACAATCTCTTTAAGTTGTAAGAATATTGATCAGAATCTTACCTTGAGTCGTTTAAGATATGTTGATGTGATCGGTAGACTGAGATCAATCTCCAGGTTGTCAGGGGAGGGGGAGGGGGGGAAGATGGAGGTGTTGGGGTACACTGCCGAGGGGTGGAAGAAGGAAGATGAGGGAGGGAAGGTAGGAGAGTTGGAAAACATCTGGGTCGAGGGAGGGAAGGCAGATGAGGAGGGGAATACAGAGGGCGAGGGTGGAAAAAGTCGTGGGCTAGAGAAAGACTGTAGCGCATTTATCGCCTAAAACCAAAATTTAGTATTAACGTATAGCTTCGGTAAAATCTTAGTTAAACCATCACATTTTTTTTTTCTTTAAAAAATAGCGTCGATGTAACAACACAATATAAACTAGACAGTAAAAGAAAGTCAAATTTATGCGACACTACTGATACGACTTTGTGACCTCCTAGCTTCTCTAGTTTTGATTTTAAGTATTAGTTATGAGTTTGACGTGGTATATGACACATACCTGGGCATAAGCGATTGCATGCGCATGCGCGGCCGCCGTGCTCTGATCTCCAAACTCTCCAGTCTTTGATCCAAGATTCTGAAAATTGAAAATATAAACAACAACTTTTTTATTGTTAATCCATTGAAAAATCAAATAATCTGTCTTCGTTTTCCGACAGATTAGGCTAAATCAATTCCTTTCTGGATATCTCCAAAGGTCCAAGTGACATAGGCACTTTATCACTTAATCAAAGGTTTCCAGTGTAGATTTAGGCACTGAAGTAAATTGGTAGGCTTTTATATAAATACAATGAAGACGACCTTTCTTTTCAAATCCTGATTTCTAACAAGCTTTTATCAAATTACAATTTTACAAGTAAACAAAGAAAAACTGTTCTTACCAGCTTCTCTTTGTTTCCATGCTATACATGTATATCCATGCTGTTAGAAAGCTTAGTTGAAATCAAAAATTGAAATCTAAAGTCGTCTTCATTATATTGATATACATGACGATGACTGTAACTTAATACAAAAGTTCCGATCTGAGAATAAATTAGGGTTTCCAACGCAAGTGGATTTTACTTGCGCACAATTGCAAACACTGTAAACTTTGCGCAAATCCGCAAAACTCCGTGCAATTCCGTACAACTCTGCGCAATTTAAGAACAGTTGCGCGCAATTATGAGCTATTCCGCGCAATTCCGCGCAATGGAATTCCGATTGGAAACCCTAGAATAAATTGAAGACAAGCATGTCTTACTTGATATGTTTGTTGATTGTTTCCTCCTTTTCTAGGTGAATAAGGAGACTCTAGTTGTCTGGTAGGAGAACATGATATCTTAAAGGATTGAGCTCCTGTACTGAAGATGGTACCCGGAGAACAGTTCACAGGTTGAGGGGTGCTCATCCGTTCTTGCTCCTCCTATAGGCCAGAGTTAACATTTAATCTCTTTTTGTTTTTAATGATTTAAACTGAAAACAGTCAGACATGGCATTCTAACTAAAAAACTTCAAGAAATTTGGTATTTTGATATTTTCACCAAAACTTGACAGTTGGTTAGTCTATATTCATTATGTGTGTAGCTTCTGTAATGCAAAATTAACTAGCTAGTTCAAACTGCTTGGAAATAAAAAACTTTTAATATTTGGCAATTTTTTCTTGAAATTGTTGATTCCACAAGCACGTTAATTTTTTTTGCAACTTCAACCCTTTACAACTGCCATCTCAAAATGATTAAACGTTTCAATTTAAGATTATCTGTACAGTGGATTAAAATGTATTTCAATAATATTTGCAAGAGTACAAACTGAATTTCCCACAAGTATAATCGCAATTTTCTAGAATATTTGGATCAATGAAACTTGAAACTTTTCTCTCAATTCACTCAAACCATACTATGAGAAATTGCCAGTGAGCCAGAGTTTCAATATTATCCAGAAATTGAAACCAACAAACGCAAAAACGCCACTATTTTTTGTTTCAAAACACATATTTACGAAACATTTTTACCGAGAAAATCTTCGACATTTATTATTTTTCGAAATGCGTCAGTTCATTGAAAAAAATCCGCGAAAATTTGAGAACGATTTTAAATGGCGAATTTCAGAATTATTAACAAGAAATGGGACACGAAGTGCCCTAATATCGTCTTAAAGGATACCTTTAAAACAGAAGCTCCAAACTTATGTACAGTGAGACCCATAAAACTAGGTGATAGGAAGACGACGGGCAGAATTCAGTTATGATTTAGAATAGTCCAATCAACATTAAATGCATAAAACTGTTCTGTGTACAGTCCTAACTATTTGCTTTTTAACAACATCAAAGACGTGTAAAACGTTTTAATGTCGTCTTCATATTCAACCATTTCACGAGTCTAATAGTAAACTTCCTGCAAGATGAAAAATTATGAGGTTTAAGTCAACTTTAACCCTTTCCTGATTTGGTCGAATATTTGTGTCCAGGGTGGGCACAGGCTGCTTCCTGTAAATTGTTAATTGTTAAGACCAATGCAACAAAAAAGATCAAAAAAGTTTTTAAAATAAACATACCAATGATACCCATCATTGGTTTCTTATTCCACAAAGTGTTAAAAAAGCTAACCTCTGGCATTCAGTGCAGTATAGAAGAAATCTAGATACAGCTTCTCTAGGTATAAAAGCATACTGGTCCGCAACCTGGAATATATTATATAAGAGAATAAACAAACCAGAGAAAAGAACGCCCAGAGTGGGTTCCCTAAAACAGTAAATATTGCTGACCTGAAAGCAAAAGATTACAAAAAACTAAGATTTTGCAATATCCAACTCCAAAACTAATTATTTTAGTGGTTAATTGGTCTTGGAGTATTTTAATTTTTGTCATTTTTTACACTTTTGTCATTATTTTACATTTTTGTCATTATTTTACATTTTTTGTCATTATTTTAATTATCCTTTTTAACCACCAATTTTACAAAGGCAGGAACGTAAAGAATTCAGGACGAGTTGTTTTCTAATGAATGAAATAACAAATGCAGCTTTTTATACATCATCCACTACTCACCATACTGTCTAAGCAGTAACACAAGAATTGGAAGATCTATCTAGTGTAGTGTATACATTGGGTTGATTGGATATCGGATTTTACATCAAAAATATCAACATCACTGAAAACTCCGGTTTTCAATTTCAAAATAAAAACTTACAAAATATTTCTATTTAACTGGGATCGAAGTTGAAAACCGTCTGACTATTGAACCAGAGGAAATCTAAATCACAGTTTCATTTCTTTTTTTAAAAAACCAAAGACAAGTCATGCATTCTTCATGAGACAAAGCTTTAAAGTACCGTTGTGAATCTGACATGACACTTGATATATTGAAGATCCCTTACAAGTTCGTTTACAGTCCCTTTGAATAATAAAAAAATGAATCTCAGAAAAAGTACCCCCATCATTCCTTTGCCTAATTACCCGGATAATGTATCTATTACGAGAATATATTGTTGAGATTAGAACATAGGAAATCTAAAAGATTACCCATGCAAGATTAAAAGGTTGATAAGTTTTTTTTTATCAAAAATTGTATTTTTAGTTTTTTTTTAAGGGTTGAAAAGGGGTCAACTTGTCTTATGCTAGCCACAAAATTTCAATCCAAATTTGATACCACAATTTAAATTTTTTTGTTAATTTTATCCCTTAATAAATAGGCACCGTTTTAAAAGCTTATTTGTGATCATTTGTGATCTAATGCCGCGGCTAATTTGTGCGTTAATGAATCGAACATTTTTATCAGTGTTCTATAATATAGAGCTGTTTGACAACTGTTCTGTGTGGTCCAGGGCTTTTTATTTATCTTTACAAAAATACATGATACAGAATTTTGATTCTTTTACAGTAAATAACAAAGGTATGAAAAAATACAATTATGAGATTGACATATGAAATCAGGAAAAATTGATTTTCAATTTTTGAAATTAATAATCTTAGAAAATCAATAGGATGTTCTAAAAACCCCTATCTAGACGGTTTGTTTACTTCTATAGAAAAATCTCAAGACTATATATCACTGAATCTGTAATAAAATATTTATATTCTATGAGAGTATTCCTAATAATAAGAATAAATGTATATTTGTATTCCACAGGAGAATAAACCTGCATGCCTCCAACTATATTTATAGGTTTTAGGTACAATCAACATATGATTCATGCGCTAACAATCTAAAAATTAAAAATGATAGAGCTCTTCTAATCAGGTTTAACTGATTTTAATCCTTTTAGTATTTCATTACGCAATCAACTTTTTCAGAGAAAACTTAGTTTCCAGGCAAAGCTGGGTGCCCCAGCTAGTTTTAGATAATACAGCTTCTCATTGTATTCTAGATATTGCAGCTCCTCCTTGTTTTCCAGATATTGCAGCTCCTCCTTGTATTCCAGATAATACAGCACTTCTTTGTATACTAGATATTGCAGCTCCTCCTTGTATTCCAGATATTGCAGCTCCTCCTTGTATTCCAGATAATACAGCACTTCTTTGTATTCTAGATATTGCAGCTCCTCCTTGAATTCTAGATATTGCAGCTCCGCAGCTTGTATTCTAGATATTGCAGCTCCAGAGCTTGTATTCTAGATATTGCAGCTTATCCTCGTATTCTAGATATTGCAGCTCCTTCTAATATTCTATATATTTTAGCTGTGCAGCTTGTATTCTAAATATTGCAGCTCCTCCTTTTATTCCAGATAATACAGCTCTTCTTTGTATTCTAGATATTGCCGCTCCACCTTGTATTCTAGATATTGCAGCTCCAGAGCTTGTATTCTAGATATTGCAGCTCATCCTCGTATTCTAGATATTGCAGCTCCTTCTAATATTCTACATATTGTAGCTTCGCAGCTTGTATACTAAATATTGCAGCTCCTCCTTGTATTCTAGATAATGCAGCTCATCCTTGTATTCTAGATATTGCAGCTCATCCTTGTATTCTAGATATGGCAGCTCCTCCTTGTATTCTAGATATTGCAACTCCTCCGGGTTTTCTAGATATTGTAGCTCCTTCTTGTATTCTAGAAAATGCAGCTCCTTCTTTTATTTTATATATCGGAGCTCATCCTTGTGTTGTAGACATTGTAGCTCCTCCTTGCATTCTAGATAATGCAGCTCCTTCTTGTATTCTATATAACGCAGCTCCTCCATGCATTGTAGATATTGTAGCTCCTCCTTGTATTCTAGATAATGCAGCTCCTCCAATTGTATTCTATATAACGCAGCTCCTCCATGTATTGTAGATATTGAAGCTCCTCCCTGTATTCTAGATAATGCAGCTCCTCCTTGTATTCTATATGTAGCACTCCCAGCTCCTCCTTGTATTCTAGATAATGCAGCTCCTCTTTTTATTCTATATATCGCATTCGCAGCTCCTCCTTGTATTCTAGATAATGCAGCTCCTCCTTGTATTCTATATAACGCAGCTCCTCCATGTATTGTAGATATTGTAGCTCCTCCTTGTATTCTAGATAATGCAGCTCCTCCTTTATTCCATATAACGCAGCTCCTCCATGTATTGTAGATATTGAAGCTCCTCCCTGTATTCTAGATAATGCAGCTCCTTCTTGTATTCTATATGTAGCATTCGCAGCTCCTCTTGTATTCTAGATACTGCAGCTCCTGTTCTGCTCAGTGCCGAGCTAGAAATCTATTCCAGGTAAATTAAAATCTCCCAACCTCGTATTTTTCTCTCAACTTTAACCGGTCTCTAGGGGCTCTTTACCCGGCCATATTGATATAATTTTAAATATGACTTTTATTCATTTATCAGTCACAACCCTTCATTCATTCTCTCCTTCGATCCTTCCTACTATACCACCCCCCTCCCCTCTACCTCCAATCTACCTGCTCCCCCACTTCCTTCTTCTCCCACCTTCTTCTCTGAAATTGTCCAAGAGGAAATACTGGAAAAATCTTGGTTGTCCTGGAGCAGCCCTGGAGGCCACACTCCCCTTCCCGCCAACCCCACCCTCCCCGCACTGCCCCTCACACCCAGATGAGGGCAATTTCCGAAGACTACAGCCTGTTGCACGGCCTCAGCTTTATACATACCCTAGATGATTAGTTGGTAGAAAGCGTATTATCTAAACTAACTTTTAGTGCGCTTCGCGTAACAATTTTAGCTTTTAAGTAAATTGATTTTCAAGTCACCATGTGTTTCATCGTACATCTTAAAACTAAAAATTTATTTCAATTTTGACCTACCATAAACCTTTCCTGGGGTCATTACAAAAAAACAAAATTGGGCCCAATCAGCTCAGCAGTTTTTTCGTTTATTTGGCCACACACAAACCATGGCACAAATGCAAGCCTTGAGTATATAAAAGAAAAGTCATACATAGGATTATTCATTATTAAATATATACAATTCATGTTTGTCTTGAATTATTCATTTGCTTGTTTGGTATGTTTAAATTGAGCTCAACAACGGCCAAATTTAGTTGAAATGAAGGAAAAAACATTTATAAAACTTTTTAAAAAATAAAAAAAATTAAATCTTAATTCACCTAGGCTATAATATCTAGACTATACAGTTTGTAGAGATTAAAACTTAACCTTTAAATGGACACCCAACCCTACTTTATACATTTTTTGTACATACAGGGTGTCCGATTAATTCTGACAATTTTTAAACAGCTTTGTCTATGTCATTTTTTGGAATTTTAAAATATGTAAAAAGATTTGAACAACTGTAATATGAACGTTTTGCAATATAACAAAACTATCCGCAACATATGTATTGCAGAAAAAAAAACAAAAATTCAGTTTTCCTTTACACCAGTCTTTCGATACAACGTTTCACACACAGTTTTACCTCTCTTTAAATAGACGGGGTAGTTGAATAATGTATTTAAAAAAATTGCGGTCATTTTTAACACTTGCTAAAGAAAAAGAAGTTTATCCAGTTATAAAACAAACGTGCATATTTTGATTACTCACATTTTTTTTAGTCTCTAGAGTCCATAGGGACTCTAGGATGGACTCTAGGGACTCTAGGGACTCTAGGAACTCTAGAGAGTCTAAGAATCTATGGACTCCAGGTACTCCAGGGACTGTAGGACATTGAGGACTCTCAGGACTCTATGGGTTGCAGGAAATGTAGAGTGTAGAGTGTAGAGTGTAGAAATTCTAGGGGCTCTAGGAACTCTAGGACTCTAGGGGCTCTAGGGACTCTAGGACTGTAGGAACTGAAGAGACTGTATATACTCTATGAACTCTAGGGACTCTATAATCTCTTGGGACTCTTGGATACAATGAACTAGAGGGACTTTAGGTACTCAAGGGACTAGTCCAGACACTCTAGGGACTTAAAGGACTAGTCCAGGCACTCTAGGGACTTAAAGGACTAGTCTAGGTACTCTAAGTTCTCTATTTTACACCAAAGAATCACTTAAAGAACACTTTTTTATAAGTTATCAAGAAATGAGTTATTATATTTTAGGTACAAATAGTTATATATATTGCATAAAAATCTATCAATTTTCTCACATTTCGGTAAAGAAATAAAAAGGTTTCGATAACTATATGTTAATTTTTCATATTTATTAATAAAGATTTAATAGCTGAAACAAACCATGAAAACTAAAAAAGTTGTAGCAAAATGTCAACCAATGCAAATATTAATCTATTCCCTATGCAGTAAATTTATGCT